AGAGGAACCAAGATTATAATGAGCATTAATAGTTTTTAATTATTGTATTATTTATTTGTACTACAACTGTAAACCTACTTTTGCCCACCCCTGCACCCCTGTATTTATACTTCTTTTTCCTATTCTGAAGCATTCAATTTTGTTTTGATTTTTTAAAAAATCCTCACTCTAGGACATGCTTTTTGATTTTAGAGAGAACCATTGACGTGATAGAGAAACATTGATTGGCTGCCTCCTGTAAGCCTCCCAAGTGGGGAACCTGCAAACTTTTTGGTGTACAGGATGATGCTCCAACCAAGCCACCCAGACAGGGTTGTTTTGACTTTTAATATTTACCTAATCTCATATATATATTTTCTCATGTGAAATAACAACACACATTCTTTGGTTAAATATACCATAGACTGTGAAGTTATTCAAGGAAAGTATTTAACCTAGACGGGATATGGCTCAGTTGGTTGAGCATTGTCCCACAAACCTAAAGGTCACTTGTTCAATTCCTGGTCATGACACAAGCCTGGGCTGTGGGTTTGGCCCCTCGTTAGGGCACATAGGAGAGGCAACCAATTGATGTTTCTTTCTCATATTGATGCTTCTCTCCCTGTTTCTCCCTCACTTCCCCTCTTTCTAAAAATAAATAAACAATCTTTTAAAAAAGAAGAGTATTTTAAAAATAGGATAGCATCTCCTTCTTTAAGCCATTGGGATGAATCAATTTAATTTGCATTCTGAAGTCTATCCCATCTCCAAGATTCTTTCATATTATGACAAAACCATAATTCTAGAAGCTTGATTCTTACACCTGGAAAGACTAGATTTGGGAAATGATCCTGTAGAACATAAGAGGTAAGCCTGATAAATCTGAACACAGGGGTCTGGAGGGCGAAGAAAGAGGCTGAGAGCTCTCAGGAGGTGCAGGTGTTGGATGTAGGAGAGGACCATTCACTTGAGCACAGTTAATAGTGTGTTGGTAAATGTTTAACATCTGGCTTTGGGGGAGGGGACTCCTAAATTGTAGCAGTTGCCTATTTCCATGGTGTAAATACTCCCATCCTGTCCAATTTCAAGGTGCATAATTGGCCCTTGTAAGTGGTAAGAGCCACCTCCTATTCAGCTGAATTTGTCTTTCAAGCTAGATCATAACCCATTGGTGGGACTTGCCAACATCTTAGTGGGTTATAAGCACTTTTTAAATGAAAAATTAGAAGCCTTCATGTATAATGAGTATTGCTTTGTGAAATTTTGGTTTCCATAATTTTAAGTATGTATGTAACAAGTCACAATGTAAATGTAGTCCTTCTTGGGGCTTATTTGAAAAAAGTCTAAAAGGCACCACTGCTGTATCTTCTGTCTTTAAAATAAACAAATATTAAAATAAAATAAAAAAATCTTCCTTTTACCCCATTGTCTCCTTGGCTTCCATGCTCTGTTCCTCTTCAGAGCAAAACTTCTTGAAATATTTAATTATTATTCCCACCACTTCCTCACCTTTCATTTCTCAATCCACCACAGTCGATCACAAACGACTTCCATGTTTCTAACTCCATTTGTTGCCTCTGTGTTCCTTGATCTCTCAGCAGCATTTGGCATAATTGGCTGTTCCTTCTCAAGACTTTCTTGGGCTTCTATGTCACCACTTTCAACAGGTCTCCATGGCTGCCCCTCCTCAATCTGTTACTGGTTTTTCTCTTCTTGACTTATGTCCTGGGTCAGTTGCCTATCTAGCTTCTCTCCTAGGTGACCTCATCAAATTTCCACAACTTCATCTCATATTATTTTCTCTTCATCTACTACACTTCAGCCATGCAGCCATCCTCTCTGTTCCCGAGGACACTAAATGCCCTCTCAGGAGTCTCAGGTTCTTTGTGTTAGTCATTTCCTAAACCTGGAAGTCTCCTCCCTAAGATTATCATTAGCTTCCTCCTTTCTTTCACTTACCAGCAACTTAAACGTTACTTCTTCTGAGAGGTCCTCCCTGCCACCCTGCTAAAGTAGAAGCCCAGGTGCTCCCAATTCCATTGTTTTACCTTAATCTTCTCCAGACACATCACTGTCTGCCTCTCCCACTGGCACGTAAGCTCCACGGAGGCAAGAACTGTTAAAACTCCCTTGTCTCCTGGAGTTTACACTCTGGTGGGTGAAGTAAAATAAAATAAAATAAAAAGGTAAATTATGTAGCATATTAGAATATGTCAAGTGCTCAGGAAAAGTAAAGCAAGTTACAATGATAGGGATTGTGTGTGTGCGCTTCATGAGAGTTTTGCAATTTTAAATATGGTGGTCAGGAAGAGCCTCAGAGGATTGATATTTGGGTAGACATGAAGGAGGAAAAGGAAACATCAAGTGCAAAGGTTCTGAGGTGGGAGTGTGACAAGCATGCCACAAGAGTACAAGGCCAGTGTGGTTGTCTCAGAATAAGGGGAGAGGAATGAAGTAGGAAATGAAGTCTGAATGTGTGGGGGGCGGGGGCAGACCAGCAAGTGCTCTTGTAAGAACTTGGATCTTTACTCAAAGGATGAGCAAAAGCTAACGGGAGGTTTTAGCAGAGGAAGAACACTGTATGGATTACGCTTTGTTATCACGTCTCTGGCTGGTGGTTGAGAATAGATTGTAGGGGGGCAACAGTAAAAGCAGGGAGACCAGTTAGGAGGTGCTTGCAATGATCGAAGGAAGTGATGCGGGACCTCCAAATACTTACGTCTCTTCTCTGCATCTAGAAGGGTCCTGTGAGGGAAGTACAGTCATCCCCCTAACTGGCAGTTTCAGTTATCTGCTGTCAACTGTGGTCTGAAAATATTACATAGAAAATTCTAGAAATATACAATTCATAAATTTTAAATTGCATGATGTTCTGAGGAGTGCTGGAAGGTATCCCCACTAAGTGCTTTGTTTACTCATAATCCTTATCCCTGGGCCTTGTCATGGTGGGCATTCAGTACGTATTTATTAATTTTGTTACATAAAAAATATACTGAGCTCCTTAAACAAAACAGGGACCCATGAGGGGGGGTTATTTCTAAGAGTAAGTTCTTGGGATCAGGAATTACTTCACCTACAGTGGATTTCTGGCTCTTTTACTAATATCCATTTTCACCTAAGTCCCACCTACCAAAGAAATAGAACATGAATGTGTATTTATTTCAACCTAGTTTGTAAAGGAGAGGTACTAAATCCAGGCAAAGTTGTAAAGAGATTCAGTGGCTCCTCATTTAACCAGTAACCTAATACTTCCAATGCCTGAGAATCCCACTAGGTACTGTTGGTCCTATTGGACTAAATTCGTCTTCTCAATTTGCAATGGAGTCGGATAGACAGGACACAACGCACGGAAAGACGAGTCCACCACATCCAAGGTAGTGTGTGTCAAGGGCTAACGCAGCAAGTTAAGTTGGATCCTCAAGAGTGAATCCAAACTTAGAAAAAGAATGGAAGGAAGAGAGAAAAGTAAGTGAAACAGACCTGAGTTCACTGGTGTGGGATGTACTATGAGTCCCTCATTTAAATAAAAAGAAAAGAAAAGAAAAGAAAAGAAAACAAAAGCTACAGAGCAGAAAAGGCCATGGCAGTGACACTGAAGCGTGTCTATCACAGAAAACGCGGATAAAAATCTAGTAGCGACACGCAGGAATAGAAAACGAGCTGCAAGCCCAGCAGCCAAGGCGGCCCAGGCGACTGTGTGTCTCTGAAGCTTTCGCAGCAGCAGGTCGGTCAGGCTCGCAGTCGTGTGGCCCACTCGTGCTCCGTGCGTCTCCCGCGGACGCGCACAGTTTAGAAAAACACCTGCCATCCGGCGAGACGACGTGCACGGGCTCAGGGTGGGGCCCAGTCCAGGGCACTGGAGCCAGGCCCCCTCCTCTCATTTCCCTGACACCCAAGAGGTGGCACAAGGCGGCGCCTGCAGTCGGGTTACCCTTGACCGCACACCTTCGACTCCGGTCCCAAGCTGGTAAGGAAGCCACCCTGAGAAACGCCGGCGACCTGCGAAAGGCCAGAGACCGGCCTGCGGTCCCGGCTGGGCGGTGTGCACCCCGGCCCTAAGCGCCGTCCCTTCGAGACTGGAGGCTGGCGACGCGCAGCGGACAGGACACGCTGGACTGGGAGCCGAAGATTTCCCCTTCTTTCCCCACATTTCCCTCCGCCCCAACCCGACGACTGGGCAGGGGCGGCCACTTCCGCCCAGGGATTTCCTTAAACAGTCTTCCCAGTCCCTGCCGTCCCGCACCGAGCCGGTCGCGGCCCGAGTCCCCAGAGGCTGTGCGCGAGGCGGGGCTGGCCGCGGCAGCCGGGCAGCGGACGCGGACTAGCGGTCAAGCGACGTCCCTAGCGCGAACTCGGACAGCGCGGCGGACTGACCGCTCTCGCGTCCCGTAGCCGCGCGCGGACGCCGAGCCGGAGCGGGACCGCGCGCCCCGGCAGACAAAACCTTTGCGTGAGCGCCTGGGACGCCTGCCCGGGTGAGTCGGGTGCGCTAGGGGCCGCCGAGGCGCTCCAGCCGTCACTGTCCCAGGTCAGAATTGAAGGGTGGACCCGTCTCCGGTGAGCCCGCCAGGTGTGGTGCGGGGCTCTCACCGCCGGCCTGCGATCTGAGGCGGCTTCCTCCCCGCCGTTAAAATGACAGGGTCTTAAGTTTAGTGACAGACCCCCGTGGGTCCCCGGGTTCGCTCTGAACGCGCCCTGTGAGAAGCCGAGTCTCTGGACTGCCTGTTAAACGTTAGAAAACGCAGGTCTGCCGAATAGCGCTGTGCCCGTGAAACGTAACGTTGGCTTCTAGCGCGGCGGCCCGTGGTGGTGACATGCGGAGAACGACGGGCTCCGGAAACTTGGGGGTTGGGCACGGTGTGACCTATGGGTGGTCCTGGCTTCCCTGCGGCCTTGCCTGTGCCCCTCGTACGTGTGGTTAGAGACGGGTGGGTGCTGAACCGCGAAGTTTGCGGTTTTCTCACCGCGGACCAAGTGGCGGCTGCTTCGCGCATGCTCCGTGCGGGCGGAAGTCGGGCGGAAGTCAGGCGGAAAGCTGGAGTTTGGTTTCTCTTTTAGTTCTGAGGTCTCGTCTTCCCTGGCGCTGTTAGCCCTACCGACGGATTCTTTTTTAAACATTATATTTGACATACAGCATCGGGCTAGTTTCAGGTGTGCAACAGGGGCTCCTCGCCTACTTACCTTACGCAGTGATCACCGCGGTAGGTCTGTCAGCTAGTGATTACGATGTTATTGACTGTGTTCCTTTGCTGTGTCACACCCCGTGACTCGCTTAAAACTAGAAGTTTGTCTTTGAAACTGGCTGATGCTCCCCCACCACACGCATCTTTTTTGTCTTTTGCCACAGGGAAAACTTACTAATATTCGATTGGATTTTGTTTTCCTTTGACTTGTTTAAATTAGGAGGAGGAGGATCAATCTTTGCTATTAAAAATAATAGCTAAAACTTATAAAGCACTTGCTATCCCATGTTTTATTAATTCATTTAATCCTCAGAACAGACCTCTGAGGTGAGTGCTGTTATTCTTATTGTACAGATGAGAAAAGTTGTACAGAAGTATTTGCTACTACTTTATTTTAGTATTTTTTTGTTTTCTTAATATGTTTTATTAATTGTGCTATTAAATTTGTCCCATTTTTTTCTTCTCTTTATTCCCCTTCCGCCTTGCACCACCCCTTCTCCCAGCATCTCCCCCACCCGACCCCGCCCCCGCCTTTCAGTTCATGTCCATGAGTCGTGCATATAAGTTCTTTGGTTCACTATTCTTAACCTTCCCCTGACTATTTTGTACCTACTATTTATGCTGCTTATTCTTTCTACCTTTCCCCCCATTCTTCCCCTTCCCCTGACCCTCTGATCTTTATTTCTGTGCTTTTGTTCCTGTTTTAGTTGTTTGCTTAGTTTTTGTTTTTGTTTTAGGTTCAGTTGTTGACAGTTATGTTTGTTGTCATTTTACTGTTCATAGTTTTTGATCTTCTTTTTCTTAGATAAGTGCCTTTAACATTTCATATAATAAGGGTTTGGTGAGGATGAACTCCTTTAACTTGACCTTATCTGGGAAGCACTTCATCTGCCCTTCCATTCTAAATGATAGCTTTGCTGAGTAGAGTAATCTTGGATGTAAGTCCTTGCTTTTCATGACTTTGAATACTTCTCTCCAGCCCCTTCTTGACTGCAAGGTTTCTTTTGAGAAATCAGCTGCTGGTCTTATGGGAGCTCCTTTGTGGGGAACTTGCCTCTTCCCTCTTGCTGCTTTTAAGAGTCTCCCCTTATCCTTAATTTTGAGTAATGTAGTTATGATGTGCCTTGGTGTGTGCTTCCGTGGGCCCAACTTCTTTGGGACTCTCTGAGCTTCCTGGATCTCCTGGAGGCCTGTTTCCTTGGCCAGATTGGAGAAGTTTTCCTTCATTATTTTTTCAAGTAAGTTTTCAATTTCTTGGTTTTCCTCTTCTCCTTCTGGCACCCCTATTATTCAGATGTTGGAACGTTTACAGTTTTTCCATAGGTTCCTAAGCCTCTCCTCATTTTTTTGAATTCTTGTTTTTCATTCTGTTCTGGTTGAATGTTTATCTCTTCGTTCTCCAAATTGTTGATTCGAGTCCTGGTTTCCTTCCCTTTACTGTTGGTTCCCTGTATATTTTTCTTTATTTCACTTTGAATAGCCTTCACTTTTTCCTCCATTTTGCAACCATCCTCAACCAATTCAGTGAGCATCCAGATTACCAGTGTTTGGAACTGTGCATCTGATAAATAGGTTATCAGTTTATTGCTTAGTTCTATCTTTTGAGCTTTGATCTGTTCTTTCATTTGGGCCTTATTTCTTTGTCTCAGTGCCCCTGTTATGCTGGGAGGGGCAGAGCCTTAGGTATTCACCAGGGCAGGGTAACCCAGGTCGCTGCCTTGTGACACTGTGTGTGGAGGAGTCGTTCCAGAGGGAACAATACTGCTTTTCAGCCCCCAGCCAGTTCTCAGTCATTTCCCCTGCTACCCATAAGCAAATTGGGCCCTTCTGATGCTGATTCCAGGGTGGGTGGGTTTATGTATGTTCTAGGACCCTGGGGTCCCTCCAACGAGCACCACTGTGAGGCAGGGATTTTCTCCCACTGCTGCAACCCCCACAGATTTTTACCAACAGAGGTTTTGAGGCTTTTTTCCCCCCCACACTGGAACCCTGGGTTGGGCAGTCTGTCTCACTCCCCACTGTTCCTCCTGGTTTATCTGCACTTGAATGTGGGACTGCCAGGTCCTCTCACTGCCACTTTGCCGGGTGTCCTCTGTGCCCCAGCCGCCCATCTCTGCCCCTCCTACTGGTCTGGATGAATGTTTCTTCTTTAGCTTCTTGGTTGTCGGACTGCTGTACAGTTGGATTTTCTGGCAGTTCTGGTTATTTTTTGCTTTTAAATTTGTGGTTGTCCTTCTTTTGGTTGTGTGAGGAGGCAGAGTGTATCATCTTACGCCTCCATGTTGGCCAGCTATTTTAGTATTTTTAATAATAAATTTCATGTTAGAAACGTTCCACTGATGTAATTCTTAAACCAGTATTTCCTGCATTAGTACTACAACACTAGTTTATAAGTACAGTTGGTAAGAATTGGGGTCAGATCTTTGATTGTAATAGCTTCTTGTTATTTAGTAAATTTTAGTAAAATAACATAATTTAAATTGAAGAGTAATGATATGAAGAAAAATGATGCATTTTCTTTCTGTTTTGATTTTACACAGGGTGACTGCTTCAGTTTCAGTCTGGAGAGCCTTTAAATGAAACTTGCTTAAAATCTTAGATCATACACAGCAGAGAGACCCCAATCAACAATACAGTGGAAAAGGATGTTGTCCTTAAACAACCTGCAGGATGTCATCTATAACCCGGTAACTGATTTCTCTGAAGTCACTTTTTACTTTGGCAGGATTGAGAGTAAATCCAAATGGATAGTAACTATCTGTTGCTGGGGGAGACTGTCAAGAATAAATTAGGTAAACATGTCACACAGTCCCTCTGCGTGACAGGGACTGTGGTGGGTACTGACTGATAACAAATATAGCCCTTGGAGCTGTCCAGTAGGGGGCCCGGTGCGATCGCCGCCCAAGGTGGTGAGAACGTGTTGTGAGCAGCAGCAGCGGAGGGCGGTGGCGGGACACGGCTATAACCGTAAGACATAATTTTAAAAGGAAAACAGACTTCTTACTGTACAAGTTTTACATTTTCTTTTTTAATTAGACCTATTTATGAGAAATTAATGTCTCAGTTTTTAAACCCTCTGCCTTTCAAATGCTGCTTGTCACTTGAGCAGGGAAATGTCAAAAGCTATTGGTGAGATGGAAAATGAAAAAAATTAAGGGTCTTGTCCCAGCCTGAATGACTGTAACTGCTCAAAGTTTCAGTGTACATCCTGGGAAGTGACGAACTTGTTTTAGTTTTAGGTGAGGATGCAGTTTCCATGTATCTGGAGCTGAATCCCAAATTTAGGTCTGACGTAGAGTTGCTGCTTTTTTTTGTAAACAACCCTCCCGCCCCCAAGAGACTCTTGGCAATAGGGAGGATGAGGGTCCTAAACCAGTCTTAGTGTAAGTGGGTTCAATTTTTTGTTATTTACTTTGTAGCCATACTCTTTTTCCCCCTAAGCTTTAACATTATTGTGCAAGAATAAGGTGTGACCACTATATTAAGCAAACTCGGCTTTAGAGCAAATAGTCGCCATAGTAATTCAGGGTGCTTTGCTGAGTAGAGAGCATCAGTCCACACAACTGAAACAGAAAATGGCTAAAATTTCCGGCGCAGCCGTTTCTCAGACTGGGACAATTTATTAACAGTTGTGAACAACTTATTAGTAGTGATAGTCTCAAAAAGCTCTTTCCAATCCTAAAATTAAGTATATAATAAAAATGTCTGTGGTTATAAAAATATAAAGGTTTGTTATAGAAATCATTTTTGGTTTCTTTACAGTTTTTCTTTTTAATATTTATTATAACTTAAGGTGACACTTATTTAAGATTATAATGTGTAAAGTTCTGAAGGCTACTTTCTCACTGATACTTGTATCACTAATATTTTTGTGTTGTTAAATACTCTGCATACATGTGATTAGAATATATATAAAATTTGAAGTTAGAAAAACTGTTCTCATTTTATTAAGAGATTTACACTATGCAAGATGCTGCTACCTGTTCTTGGAATTGGCTGTGGCCCAAAAGATCAGCATGGAGGTGTGACTCCTTCCGTGTTGTCTACACACAAAACCTGACCCCTCTGCTGTGTGTCTGCAGCCACACTCTGTGCATCTGTTGAGCAGAGACAGTTTTCTGGTGGCGTGGGCTCTGTTCATCCCACCCAGCCTGCCCTCAGCAGTTGGAACACCAGATGGTAACTGGTTTTTGGGAATGTCTTGTTGCTGAAGGCAGCCACACTTGCTGTGCAGTGGCTGCTTAGTTGCAGCTCATCTGCTTGTGAGAGGCCTGCCACAGCCATTTCCGGGCAGTGAGAGCTCATTGGACCTCTGGACCTCTGCCCTGGGGACGTGAGGGTGAGGACCTGGAGCTGCCCCCTGAAGCACAGAGGTGTGGGCCACAGACAGAGCACACAGTGCTGTGCCAGGCCCCAAGAGGGGCTCACTCAGGTGGCCTAGGGAACCTGAAGCAGGATCCACAGAGGAGTGTGCTTGAGCCGAGAGCCACCCATTGACAACGAGCCCCTCTTGTTTTATTTATAGCTTGACAGCCAGCATTACCTCGGATAAATTGCAGCATACATGGCATAATTGGGGTGAGCATGGCGTGAGGCATGCTGTTTTCTGGCCAGATGATCCCAAGTGGAAGAGGGAAGGTTGTGAGGCAGGCGATGCAGCCATATAACACAAATCCCCAGCCAGTGCAGTCACCTTAGGGGAAGGGAGTGACAAGGTCTGAGTGTGTCAGGCCCCAGACAGAAAGGCAGCGTTCCACCTGGTGAGGGGCAGGCTGAAACCCAAATGCTGTGTGGGAATGCCTCCTGGGGCCCAAGCCTGAAGGTGGACCAGGCCAAAGGGCAGCGGACGCCGTGCCAGGAGCGACCCACTGGCTCCCAGAGCTCATCCCTCAGATGCAGCGTGGTGTGGGTTGCAGTCCGGAAGCCCAGGTGAGGCCCGCGTCCCCAGCGTGGCTGGGACCTCCACAGGCAGTGAGCGTCCTCACCCCGTCGGCACTGGCGCAGGGCCGGGTGCGGTCTTGATCCGGCTGTTGTGGGGAACTCTTGGGTGGGGAGGGATGACATTGCCATGAGTTGTTTTTTTTTAGTATCAGGATTATTCTATTAAATAGAAGTGTTATTTCACAAAACGTAATACTTATCTTGTGTCCTTTGCCAAATAATTTAATTTGCAGATATTGTGTAGCCGTATGAATAGTGAGGACTTGGAATATGCTAGGTTGAGCAGATTTATTTGATAAAAATATAATATTTCCATTTTATGTAAAAGTACATCTGTTAAAATTATTTTTCTTAGGTAATCCCCTATGTTGGGACCATTTCTGAGCAGTTGGAGCCTGGAACTTTGATTGTAATACGTGGGCATGTTCCTAGTGACTCAGACAGGTAAAATTGTTGTATTAGATAAACAAGGACATGAATAAACTGTCTCTTTGTGACTGTGGGACAATAATGAAAGATAACGTGGGAGGGACATTATGGTACTTGAAGCCTGATTTTGCTTTTGTCAGCTTTGTGGCCCAGATGTCAAGATTGGAATGAGGGACTGAAGTAAAGGTTATTTGGGTTTTTTATTTTATTGCTATATGTCTGACCTCATTATAAAGAATTGGATATACAAAGTCTGTCCAGAGGTATCCAGCCATGTAATATGAAAAATAGAGACATTTATTAAAGAAGATACAAAATAAAAACAAACATTGTACATACGACAGTGATGCCTCAGTCCCCTTCAGTGTAGGCACCTTGGGATGTCAGATAGTTCTCCTAGTCACCATTAGCTGCCCTGTTGTACTTTCCTGAATCTCATTGACAGTCTGAAATCTCTTACCTTTCAAAGGTGATTTTAGTTTTGGGAAAAGCCAGAAGTCACAGGGGACCAAATCTGAGCTGTAGAGGGGCTAAGTCACCTGGCCGATTTGATGTTTGGCCAAAATCTCTGCATGAGACATCGTGAATGAGCAGGCATGTTGTCGTCATGAAGCTGCCAATCACCAACCAGTTGCCCATAGCTGTGGCCTTCTGAATCATCCAAATTGTTTCCATGGAGGAATGTTCAAGCTTGACACAAAATTTGATACAAATTTGTTGCTCTGCTCGCTCCGTCACTTTGAATGGGACAGCCACACAGAACACATGATCCCTCAACAGTGTCTACTGCCCCCACTGACTAGTACAGTGAAGTCATCATTGTTCACGCATGTACATTCTAGTCCACCCTCCCTGGTTGCCAGGTTACATCAAAGTCATGCAAACCATTCTCATTATATTAACGATGGCTGGACTTTTTCTGGACAGACGTTGTATATTAATGAGGAAAACTGAGATTGGACGACAGGGAACAAAGTCCTGTTACAGGGTCAAACTCCCACAGCATCTCTCTCTCTAACCCTCACCTGAGGATATGTTTATTGATTTTAGAGAGAGAGGAAGGGAGAGAGGAAGATAGACACACAGACAGACAGACATCGATGTGAGAAGGGAACATCAATTAGTTGCCTCCCACCCATGCCCCGACCTGTGATTGAACCTGTAGCCTAGGTATGTGTCCTTACTGGAGATCTAACCCACAACCTTTTGGTGTGCGGGACAGTGCTACAACCAGCTGAATCACCTGGCCAGGGCTCGCACAGCGCCTCTTAAGGTCTGTTTTTGGGTGGTATGCTTCCTTGGCTATTAACCGTGGTTGAGGCCATATCCGTCAGAATTGGGCTCGGGTCAGCATGGCTGCTGTGCACACAACAGTGGCTTAAATGAGATGTGAAAGTCAAGTCTAAAGGAGACAGTGCAGGCGTTTTAAGGCAACTCCATTAAGTCTTAGAGAAGCAGGCCTCTTCTGGCTGTCTGCTCTCTTGTCCCAGGGTGCGGTGATTGTGCTGTTTGATTCTTGGCACTAGACCTGCACGTGGGTGATTGTGCTGTTTGGGGCGGGGGCGGGGGCAGGAGCAGGGCATGGACAAAAAGCAGAGGCTGCCTGAATTAAGGCAGCTTCCAGTAGTTTCCCTAAACACGTGGCTTCCACGTCAGCAGAGCTTTACCCCATGAGCATGCCTGCCTGCAAGGGAGGCTGGAGAATGGAGGCTCCTTCTGGACGGATGGGGCCCCAGCTGCAGCTCAGGGGCCTGTGCCTAAGGAGGAAGCCAAGGAAGGGAGTTCAGGCCATGTGGGTGGATGAGCGCAGGGTCAGTCGTACGTTATGTAGCCTGGATTTTCGTGCTTTTGGGCCCCTCCCTGCAGCCTTCCTTTCCAAGTCTTCAGGTGGCCACGTTTCTTTCCTCACACAGATTCCAGGTGGACTTCCAGTGTGGCAGCAGTGTGAAACCTCGAGCTGACGTGGCCTTTCACTTCAATCCACGTTTCAAAAGGGCCAACTGCATTGTTTGCAATACTCTGAGAAATGAAAAATGGGGGAGGGAAGAGATCACCTACGACATGCCTTTCATAAAAGAAAAGTCTTTCGAAATTGTGATTATGGTGCTGAAAGACAAATTTCAGGTAGGTTTTGGAACTGAAAGTTGAATCCTCATTAATGAGAATAGGTGCACAGGAAGCTTGTTCACGTAGTGAACTCGCCTTATATTTCTTACCTCCAGAGAGAGTTTGGCTTTATAACTTTCCTCTAACATAGGGGCCAGGCAGGTCTGCGCAGGTGCGGTGGCGCTATTTCTCCTAGCAGGGCTGAGCTCAGTTCCGAATTGCCACAGCACCGTACTAATTATGGGGTAGTAAATTAGGATCACTGTGACCCAAAACTGGGGGGGGTTTGGACTAATGGACAGGCAGAGAACCTGAGTTGTGGAAGTCAGAATCCAGTGTGAGGTTAGGTCCTGCCACAAGAGGGTTTTTAGGATCTTGAGCTTTTAGACCCAGAGATCTCAGAAATCCTGTGTGTAGTTTTCCACATGCATTTCACACTATGTGCGCACGCGCGCGCGTGTGTGTGTGTGTGTGTGTGTGAGAGAGAGAGAGAGAGAGAGAGAGAGAGAGAGAGAGACATAGAATTTGGTCCCAGCAGCTCTTCCCCTGCTTTCCCTTCAAGAGAAGACACTCCCATCCCCGGTGCAGGTCCTTCCTGGCCTCCAGGATCCCAGTCCCACCACAACATCGCCCCTCAACCTCCTGAACTTCATCACCCTTTCCTTCTCTGGCCTTTGAGTACTTTTTCCTGTGCTGTTGTGCTTTGGTTTTTTCCTGTATTTACTTTGCTTGCCACTGGGATTTTAAGCTCTTGCAGTTTAAAGACGATGCTGTATTCTGCTTGTGTTTCCCTGACATTCTGCACCACAGTACCTGGTGTTTGGGAGGGAGGGAAAAGGAACTGCATTTGCTGGAGACCTGCACTGTTTCAGGCTGTGCTGGGACTAAGCAGTGGCCTTGCCTTCTCACAACAGCAGCTATTTGAGCAACAGCGTTTTCCTGCTTACAGACAGCAACCTCAGAAAAGTTGGGGAACTTGCCCATGTCCATTCGTTCAGCAAGTGCACCAAGTACAGACTGAGTGCTGGCCATGGGCATGGTGGTCCCTCAGAGGGTGGCAGACTTGCAGAGCGGGTCACTCCTGGGCGTCGGGAGCCTCTGAACCCCAGGATGGCTCATATTTCTGCATAGATGTACACAGGGGTCTGCACATGCGTGCATGCATGATTGGCCTGGAGATGAGAAAGTCAAAAGAAGATGAACACTGCTGGCCTGTGACGCTTTCAGTCACCATCTGGTCAGACATAAAGTGGAGCCCTGGTGGAAAAGGGATATAATGAAACCCAAGTAAACAGATTCCAGTTCGAGTAAATTAATGCAACTAATTTATTAACTTTTTTTTTGGCGGGGGTGGGGGTGCTGTTTTCTGTGTCCATCTAGGTGGCTGTAAATGGAAAACATATACTGCTCTATGCCCACAGGATTAGCCCAGAGAAAATAGACACTCTGGGCATTTATGGCAAAGTGAATATTCACTCAGTTGGTTTCAGCTTCAGCTCGGTGAGTACCCTTCCTTAGTGTGGGGCCTTCTTTGATGATGTTTTCTGATGAAATGGGAGGGGATATCTTTATTTAACATCTCAAGATAAAGTAAATATCTCCTTCATTAGTGCATTAACTCTTGAAAGTAAATCTTTCAAACTACTAGGATTCAATCTTTTTTTCTGTGAACTTACTTTATGTAAATATCATTTGGGAAATTGACCTGCTTCTCTTTGAGGCCTATATTTAAAAATAGTTTTTTAGTTCTATAACCCAACCTTGCCTTCTTTACCACTTGTGAAAATTATTTTATTTTTTATTTTCATCCCCCAGTCTATCTCCTCTTGGGCGACCATCAGCTTGCTCTTTATATCTATGGGTCTGTTTCTGTTTTGTTTTCTTTAGTCATTTGTTTTGTTTTGTTTTTAGATTCCATATATAAATGAAATCATACAATGTTTGTCTTTGTCTGACTTATTTCACTTAGCATAATGCCTTCTAGGTCCATCCATATTGTCACAGATGGTGAGATTTTATTCTTTTTTATGCCTGAATAAATGCTGCATTGTATGTATGTACTACCTCTTCTTCATCCATTCATCTACTCATGGACACCTAGGTTGTTTCGTTGGCTTTTTTGTAACTAATGCTGCAGTGAATATATAGGGGTGAATATAACTTTTTGAATTAGTGTCTTGAGTTCCCTCAGATAAATATCCAGAACTAGAATTGCTGGTGCATATGGTAGTTCTGTGTTTAATTTTTGAAGAGTCTACATGCTGACATATTTATAATCCCACCAACAGTACACCAGGGTTCCCTTTTCTCCACATCCTTGACAACACTTGCATTTGTGGATTTATTGATGACAGCCATTCTGAAAGGTGTGAGGTGGTATCTCATTGTGGTTTTAATTTGTATTTCCCTGAGGATTAGTGATGTTGAGCATCTTTTCACATGTTTGGTTGCCATCTGTATGTCCTCTTTGGAGAAATATCTATTCAGGTCTTCTATTCGTGTTTTGATTAGATTGCTTGTTTCTTTTGGTTTCTTTTTGCATGAGTTCCTTATATGTTTTGGGTATTAAACCTTTATTAGGTATATATAATTTCTGAGTATCTTCTCCTAATTGGTATCTTGTCTCTTCATTTTGTTGATGGTTTCCTTTGCTGTGAAAAGCCTTTTTAGTTTGACATAGTCCTGTGTGTGTATTTTTTTGTTTGTTTCCCTTGCCTTAGGGGACATATCCAAAAAGATGTTACGAAGTACAATGTCAAAGAGTTTACTGCCTGTGTTCTCTTTATAAGAGTTTTATGGTTTTGAATCTTACATTGAAATCTTTAATCCATTTCCATTTATTTTTGTATATTTTGTAAGAAAGTGGACCAGTTTCATTTTTTTGCTTGTATTTGTCCAGTTTTCCCAACACCATTTATTGAATAGACTGTCTTTACCCCATTCTATGTTCTTGCCTCCTTTGTCATAGATTAATTGACCACCTAAGTGAGGATTTATTCCTGAGTTCTCTATTCTATTCCATTGATCTATGTATCTGTTTTTATGCCAGTACCATACTGTTTAGATTACTGTCACTTTATAGTATGGTTTGATATCAGGGAGTGTTTGCTCTTTCCTTCCCACTTCGCTCTTTCCTAAGATTGCTGTGGCTATCAGGGTCTTTTGTGGTTCCACATAAATTTAGGATTAGTTGTTCTAGCTCTGGGAAGAATGCCATAGGGATTGCATTGAATCTGTATATTGCTGTAGTAGTAATTATACTTTAACAATATTAATCCTTCCAGTCTATGAGCAAGGTATCTCCTCCCATTTATTAGTGTCTTCTTCAATTTCTTATTGTCTTATAGTTTTTAGAGTTGGCCTTTCACATCTTTGGTTAAATTTATTCCTATGTATTTTATGTTTTTGATGCAATTGCAAATGGCATTGTTTTCTTAATTTCTCTTTCTGATCATTTGTTATTGTTGTGTAGATATGCAGCAGATTTCTGTTATTGAGTCTGTGTCCTGAAGCTTGAATTCATTTTTTCTGATAAATTTTTGGTTGAGTCTTTAGGTTTTTTCTAAGTGTAGTATTATGTCATCTGCAAATAATGAATTTTACTTCTTTCCAATTTGAGTACCTTTTATTTCTTTGTGTTTTCTGGTTGCTGTGGCTAGCACCTCCATGTTGAATAGAAGTGGTGATAATGGGCATCCCTGTCTTCCTCCTGATCTTAGAGGGAAAGCCCTTAGCTTTTCACCACTGAGTATATGGGTTTGTCTTTATTATGTTGAGGTGTGTTCCTTTTATACTCACTTTGGTGAGAGATTTTTATCATTAAACACATCATAATTACAAGATTAAAGATAAGGAGAAACTCAAAAGCAGCAAGAGAAAAGGAGACAGTTACCTACAAAGGAGTTCCTATAAGACTATCAGCTGATTTCTCAAAAGAAATCTTACAGGCAAAAAGGGGATGGCAAGAAGTATTCAAAGTCATGAAAGGCAAGGACCTACATTCAAGATCACTCTATCCAGCAAAGCTGTTGTTTAGAATGGAAGGGCAGATGAAGTGCTTCCCAGATAAGGTCAAGTTAAATGAGTTCATCATCACCAAGCCCTTATTATAGAAATGTTAAAGGGAATTACCTAAGAAAAAGAAGGAGATCAAAAATTATGAACAGTAAAGTGACAACATACAACTATCAACTGAACCTGAAAAACAAAAACAAAAACAAACTAAGCAAACAAATAGAACAGGAACAGAATCATAGAAATGGAGATCACATGGAGGGTTATCAGCAGGAGGGGCAGGGAGAATGGGGGAAAAGGTACAGGGAATAAGAAACTTAATTGGTAGGTACAAAATAGGGGGCGATTAAGAACAATATAGAAAATGGAGAAGCCAAAGTACTTATATATATGACCCATGGACATGGACTCAGGGGACGGTAATGCTGGTGGAAAGGGAGACAGGGCAGAGGGGGATAAAGGGGAGGAAAAAGGGACAACTGTAGTAGCAGAATCAATTAAACATACTTTAAAAAAAATCCCAAACAATAGGAACAAGAAAACCCTTTCTAGCTAGGTGGGGGCTATGTCCTTGACACAGGAGTGCCTCGAGGTGGAATGTCTCCACCGGGGATGACTGCATTCTCAGTCACGATTGATACTGCTGACTTGCCCTCCAGAAAGATTAGAACAGTTTGCACTTTCAACAGCTGTGCTCATTTGCTCACATTCTTCTTGACATTAGTTCCTAGTTTCTTTAATGAAGTATGTTAAGTGCTGTTTGGATCATAATTTTCAAGCATATTTTTATGTTTAGTACTATTTATCATCCTTTTTGATATGTCAAGCAGGTTATATTAGGAATTCTGATGGATGTTAAAAATCAATCTTATCTTTTCTTCAGGATTTAAGAAGTAGCCCAGCACCTCCCCTGGAACTGACACAGATACATAGCGAAAATGTAAGTTTTCATCTCTTAATGAAACACCAGTTTAAAAACGTTCATTCAGCCCTGGCTGGTGTGGCCCAGTGGATTGAGCACCACCCTGCCAACCAAAGGGTCACTGGTTTGATTCCCACTCAGGGCACATGCCTGGGTTGCAGGCCAAGTCCCCAGTGGGGGGATGCACGAGAGGCAACCACACATTGATACTTCTCTCCCTCTCTTTCTCCCTCCCGCCCTGTCTCTCTAAAAATTAAAAAAAAAAAAAAAAAATGTTCATTTAGTTGCCATGTCAATCAGGTGGCAGGCAGGCTGAGTTTTTTATAGTTACATTTCAGTATGAAAAATTGTTTTTAGGGTGGGGCGGGGAAAATGATGGTGTGAAAATGTTGACAACTGTATTTGAACAACAATAAAAAAAATGTTTTTGATTGTAATAGGCTATAAGTAATCATTTGAAAATTGAGGCCGCTTTGGTGGTGCCAGGCACTGTAGGTTTTGCTGATGCTTAAGCTGCAGTGTATCTGACCACCGCCTACCGCCTACCAGTCGGTGCAGAAAGAGCTCTTCCGAGGTTGAATGGCACTGATGTGAGGAGTTGAACCCAGTCAGTGCATTGGGAAAGGAGCCCCCACATGTCTCTTCTCCCTTTAGAAAAAAGTTCAACTAAAACATTGAGTTTTTGCTGCTGTAAATGGGACAAGTGAGGTCGTACTGAGTGCAGCACTTTTGTACCTCATAAGCAGAATATAATCTCAGTATTTGGGGAGCACCTTGGAAAGAGCAAGTAAAATGTGTTTGAAGCTCCTATGAAAAATTATTAGCATACAATGGAGGGGAACGGGGCTCAAACTGCACTTGCAGCCTGAGTAGCCCTCAGTGACTCCCCACAGGGCCATCATGGAGCTCTGGTGCCCGTGTCACCCCCAGGGCAGAGTGGGCACAGCTGCCCCCAGGTTCTGGCCTGGCTCGGTACAGCCAGGAAGCCCAGCTGGCTGCTCATGTCGTAACATACAGCTCTTCCCTTTCAGACTTCCTCATTTTGTCTTTCTCTTCTAACAGGTACAAAATGCTGGCATGTCACAATTTGTAAGTATTTTTGCCTACGTTATAATATGTGGAACATTTTATAAAATGGCCCAGGAAGTGAATAGTTTAAATGTTGGAAGACACCTTCATTCCTTCCATGCCTTACTGCAGAACTGTTTCCCTGCAGCCTAGTAATAGAGGAGACATTGGTAAAATCGTACCCAGAACTGTCTGCACCAAGAGCAAAGATTCGACTGCCAATCACACTTTGACTTGCGCCAAAATACTACCTATCAACTCTTTGTCAAAGGTTTGAAGAGCCTAAATTTTGTTAATTCTATAAGACAAGTTTTAATTTGCTGGTAAATGTTACCACTACCCTCAGGAGAAGCACAAAGCAGCCACTTGGCATTTTCATGCTGTCCCTGGACAATTATCAGTCACCCATGCTTTGTCTAGGAGCCGTGAATATGTGTTTTCCTAACTCCTTCCCTTCAGGCAGAACAGGAGCAGTGCTACAGCCTACAAACACAAAGCTTTTCAGAATGAGTTTCACTAACGTGAAGGGTATGAGGTCCCACTCCACATCCACTTATTTCACTGGTTTCTATGAGCCAGGCACAATGTTTACTACTAGGGACCCGTCTGGGACCAAGGCACACACAAGTTGTCCCTTCATGGGGTTCAGAGTTGCAGCCTTTAAACATTACCCAGTGTTTGGAACGGTTTTCCTCAAGATCCCATTCTGTAGGCTTCCTAGGGTCAACTTTGCTTTCTTTTCAGACTCTACCATTTGTGGCAAGGTTGAACTCCTCCATGGGCCCTGAACGGACTGTCGTCATTAAAGGAGAAGTGAATACAAAAGCCAAAAGGTTGGTATCACTGAGTTAACAGTAATAGTGTAAACACTCGCCCATGTGTCTCTTGCCTATACCCTGCAACAGTCTTGTGAGATACAAGTAGGGCTAGCATCATAATCCTCATTTGAAAGATGAGAATATTAAAGCAAAAGGAAGTTCGACTGCTAACAAGTAGTTGGTGGCAGAACCAGGATTAAATTCTAATGTTCTGACCCAGGCTTTTTGCGCCCAAAGGGTGTCATTTTTGTCCACAAGGTCCCTTTTTGCCTTGTTGAACTTCAGGGCAACCCTATGAGTTCCCATAACTTTTTATTAGGGCCTTTCTTTTCATGTGACTTACAAAGTTTCTGCTTATGAACGGTCTCCAGAAATGTTCAGACTTCTGAAAGCTTGAAAGTATAGGTATTTCCTAGAAAGAAGTCACTTCCAAGGAAGGAACATGTGTAAATGTTAGAAGAGAATCCCTTCTTCAAAGGACCTCATACTCCTGCAACCCGAAGAGATCACTTTGTTTATTCTTGTAACCCTTCAATTTCCTCCCAATACCCTCACCATTGACTTTAGTTTTTTTAAATCTTTATTTTGCAAATGACGTATCTGTGGAATGCTAACTTGGAATTTAAAGTTTCATTTTCCTGTGTTCCTCTGGTCATGTGCAAATTTACATTTTCTGTAGTTATAATCAGAGTTCAGTTCTGATTGTTAAAATTTCTGAAAGTGCACTGCGTTTTTCTACTTGATTGTTTTTCTTTTTCTCTTAAAAGCTTCAGGGTTGATCTGCTATCAGGAAAATCAAAGGATATTGCTCTCCACTTGAACCCACGCCTCAATGTTAAAGCATTTGTAAGAAATTCTTTTCTTCAGGAGTCCTGGGGAGAAGAAGAGAGAAATATTACCTGTTTTCCATTTAGTACTGGGATGTACTTTGAGGTAAGATTATATTTTTTGAAAATGGGATAGGAAAAATAATCCTGGGAGCAAGGGTACGATAAATGGTCAGTGCAAGTCAAGACCTTTGTGAAGATTTGTGTGTGTGTTCTGTTTGTTTATTTTGAGATTATGTTTTGAATGCCTCTCTTATCACATAGACAGTTAGTGCAAATGGCAGAACCAGTAGTGGACCACAGTATTTGCACTGGAATTATTTGATATTTGTTGTCATAGCCAAAACTACTATGGAGCCCCCTATTATTTAATAGGAATTTTACCAGGAGCCTTGTCTCAGTACTGGAGTAATATGTTTAATACTCAGTGAGCATGAAGACATGGGAACCCTAACACTGCCTGCACTGCCTCCTTCCATGCTGATTACGCATAGCTGTATGTGGCAGTCCTTTTGTCCAAGGAGTTAGTCCTGTTCATATGCATTTAAGAAAAGATACTTTAGACCTTTGGAACTTGCAGACAGATAGTCTTGAGTACCCAAGTATATAAATATTATGAAAGCACAACTTTCCCAAAATGTTTCTGGAATGTTGAACATATGGATGTTGGGTGGTTGGCTAGATTCACCCATTACTTAGGTGGCTCACTGCCTCACATGGCACTTTAAACAGTCTTAAGCTCTGGACCATTTGAGATCTTCAGGAATCATCAAAACTCATTTTTAAAAGCATAAACATCAAGGGTGAATAGAAGGTGGTGATTTGACATTAATACTTATTCCTAAGTTCCAATATAATGCAGTGCCCTGGTATGTGGAAAAACAGATGTGAGATAATCATTGGACGTTGTGGATAGTTGTGGATATTGGTTTGGAATTGAGAAGGATGTGGAAGGTTGAAGGTCAAGTTGGGTTTTACAGATTTAGGGAATGATTTGAACAAGTCACTGGAAGAGGGAAATGTAGCATAGGATTTGTTGACTTGGCAGGAAAGAGATCAGAGTAAATGCTTTAGCAGGAAGTAGATCCTTGTGGTTGGTGATAGGAAACTAGTGACATAACTTGTTTTTTGGCCCGAGCCCTCAAGTTTTGAACTACTGTAATAGAAAAGAACAGTGATAATAAATTCTTTCAAATAAGAATTGTCCTGTTGTTAGTTTTCTACAGAGACAGTTGTCCTCGTGTTGGATTGCTTTTATCAGTTTTCCATAGTGATAGATTTTTTCCCAGTTGCTTCACATTTTTGCCTTTTTAATGTACTGTCATCAAAATCCTCAGATCTTTCCATTATCCCATTACTTTGATTTCAGATTTACTTACTAAAATACTTTTGTAGTTCCACCTGTGAGCTCTTGTTATCAGTCTCATGTTCTCAGGAGCTGTCCTGTAGCATCAGATGGTTGAGGGGTTTTGTTGTTCCCTGTATTCTCCCAGGTTATGTACTTTTCTTCTGTGTTGTGATAGTATTTTCACCCAGGTGCATGCCATTTCTCGTGCATGTGTTTGCCATGCATTGGCTCTGCTCTTGCTCTGACACAACTGACTCTTTTCCCACTACATCCAAGACCAGCTTGGGTTCCCTTCTGAGAGCATGAGGCTGTGTTTTGTGGTCTCCTGAAGTGTTGTTAACTGTACCTTACCAAAGGTCTTTTCTTTGTGATTGAAACTGAGATTTCCACCATTGTTAGGGATATTTTTACAAAATTGTCTGTGTCCTCAGAACCTTCATTTCTGTCAGCTCTAGATTTGTGAAATTTCCCTGCAGCTTTTTCTACTAGTACCATCAGAATAAACACATTGGATTTGCTTCTTTGCAGATAAAGATTCTGTGCATCAGCCCAGCCTCTGGGGGAGGGCAGGTTGGCAACAAGCCTGTGCTGCTCCTCTCTGGTTTTCTGCAGGCAGGGGGCAGAGGGGCCACTGTGCAGGCTCACCAGACGGGCCTCTTCAGTGTGGAAAGGAAACACCTGGCAGAAACAGGGGCCGACTGGCTTTGGGATGTGGTATTAGAAACGTGAGGTTTAGGTGTAAATGTGATTTAAAAGGATAGTGGTTCCTTTTGTACTTTTACTGTTTTGAGTTTTAGGCAAAGAAGTCTGAAGGGCTAACACCAGTGATGAATCTGGACTGAATCTTTGCCAGAAAGTTAATTACCACATAGATTCACAAACTACTGAGCTTTGAAGAGCTTTTGAGAAATAGATGGAGGCCTTAATGTGCCAAGATGGGATGGAAATCAGAGCCACCAAGCCGGTGGTTCATTCCCAGAAACTGCCCTAAACTTCTGAAATTTCTTGTTGTCTGATTTGTCCAAAATCCTAGAGTGTGAGGCAGAAGAGTCAGGATCCTAGTCCTTTGGTTCCCATCCTTTAAGTTAGAACCACCTCCTCGATTAATGAGGGTCCAATATCAGCAGTTTCCAGAGGTCCAAGATGGCGGCAGCATAGGACAATGCTAAACCTACCCCCTTCCATGAACAAACACAAATATACAAGAGCAGTTACTCCTGTGAGACAACTGAGGGGTGATTGAACAGCTTCTGACCAACCAACAAGAAAAAGGGACCAATTAGAGAAGGCTGAGAAACTGCAAGAACCGTCTAGGAGCTGTGGGAACTCTCCTGGCTGGAGGAGCTGGTGAACACCCTTGTTTGTGTCCCTGCTGCTTCAGTAAGGCTGTACTTTGGCCATCCTGTAGGCGTGCCACACCAGCTAATTTGCCTGGAGCCTCCAAAGGAAACAAGCAAGCACACCAGGGTGTTGGCAGATACACCTGGGCTTCCTGTTGAGGGCCACTCCATCCTGACAATCTAGTGCCATTAAGCACCTGCCCAACTCCAACCAGCTTCCAAAACTACATGGCACACAAAGCCTACACAGAGGTTGCTTCTACACAAGACCAATTTCAATACAACACATAAGAGAGACTATACAGAGAGGGCTGGGGAGCTGCAGGAGCTCTCCAGGGTCAGAGGGCTCAGTGTGGGCCACTGTTCATATCACCCTGCCCCTCCACAGAGTGGGCAAAAGGGCTTTCCAAGTGTTCTGACCTACCGGCCAGGTTGCTGCAGTATGTTCTCAGACATATAGTATCAAACTAGTGTGGCCCTGGACAAAGGGAGCAAGGAGGATCACTCCCCTAGCCTTCTACCTGGAGCTACTCAATAGGTCAATGCCCTGGACTCAGTAGACACCCAGTTGCCTCCTGTCAGCTTGCTAAAACCGCTGAACACCCAGCCTACCCAGAGGCTGCATCTACACGAGGCCACTTTTTCAAGACTGGAAGAGAGAGGTATTTTATTTAATTCATATAAACACACATAGAAAGGCAAACAAAATGTGAAGACAGAAGAATATCTTTTTAAATGCAGGAACAAGAAAAACATCCAGAAAAACACTCTAAGGAAATGGAGGTAAGTAATTTGCCTGATAAAGTTTTCAAAGAAAGGGTCACAAGGATGCTCACCAAACTTGGGAGTATAGAGGGACTAAGGGAGAACTTCAACAAAGTGTAGAAGGTATAATAAAGAACCAGGAATACCTGAAGAATACAATATCTAAAATGAGAAACATGTTTGAAGGAACCAACAGTACATTAGCTAATGGAGAGGAATGGATCAGTGACTAGTGGAAGTCAACCAATTAGGACAGCAGAAAGAGAAAAGAATTTTAAAAAACCGAGGATGGCCAGTCCCAAGATGGTTACCACCATGAAGAAGGGAACTGCAGAAAATGCCAGTGTTACTTTTTTTTTTTTTTTTTTAAATCCTCACCTAAGGATATGTTTAATAATTTTAGAGAGGAATGAGGGAAGAGAGAGAGAGAGAAACATCGATTGATTGTATGTGCTCCTGTATGTGCTCTGATCAGGTATAGAATCTGCAATCTAGGTATGTCCTCAGGCAAGAGAAACAAAATAAAAAATATACAAATGGGATTGCATCAAATTAAAAAAGTTTTTATCCAGCAGAGAAAGCTATCGACAAAACGATAAGACAACCTATTGATTGGAAGAAGATATTCACAAATGATATAACTGATAAGAGGTTAATATCCAAAATACATGAAGAACTCAGACAACTCACCACCAAAGAAACAAAGAACCCAATGAAAAAATGGGCAGAGTACCTAAATAGACATATAGGTGGCCACCAGATATGTGAAAACATGCTCAACTTCACTAATCATCAGAAAGAAACAAATTAAAACCACAATGACATATCACCTCACACCTGTCAGAATGGCTATCATCAATAAGTCAACAAATAACAAGTATTGGGGAGGTTGTAGGGAAAAGGCACCCCTCTTCACTGTTAGATTTTAAATTGGTGTAGCCACTATGGACAACAGTATGTAGATTCCTCAAAAAAATTAAAAATAGAGCTACTGTACAATCCAGATTTCCAGCAAAATCACTAATTCAAAAAATTATATTCACACTACATTCATTGCAGTGTGACTAGTAATAGCCAAGATATGGAAGCAACCTAGCATCCTTCAATAGATATATACAATGGAATATTATTCAGCAATAGAGAAAGAAATCTTGCCATTTACAACAGTGTGAATGGACCTAGAGCATATCAGGCCTAAGTGAAATATCTCAGACACGAAAACAAGTATCATGTGATTTCACTTATATGTGGAATATAATAAATCAAAATGAATGAATAAACTAAACCAAGCAGACTTAAATATAGAGAACAAGCTGATGATTGCCAGAGGGAAGGTGGGTGAGGTGATGGAAAAATAAATAAAATTAAGGAAAAAAAATACCAGCAGTTTTCCTACTTCATTAGAGTTCTGAAACATTGATGAGGATGGGCAGCTTTCAACTTGGCATGGAGCAAGGGGCAAGGGAAGGTTTACAGGTGAGTGAATGTGCAGGAAAGGAAGGCCCACCAGGTGCTGGGACAGTCCCTTTCCCCAGTAGGACAAGGCATAAGTGTCATCTCCAGAACACGGCAGTGAGATGAGGGTTTAGCAAGCACAGAAGGCTGAGTCGTGAGAGTCCTCTGCGTGTGTATATAGCAAGGCAAGTGGTTTACTTACTTATTTTACATTCTTAGTGCATGATAAACAAGAATTTTTAAACAAGGGGAAGCACTAATGTGTGTGTCCTTTCCTTTCAGATGATAATTTATTGTGATGTTAAAGAATTCAAGGTTGCGGTAAATGGTGTGCACTGCCTGGAATATAAACACAGATTTAAAGAGCTTAGCAGTATTGACACGCTGGAAATTGATGGAGATATCCGCTTACTGGAAGTAAGGAGCTGGTAGCTGGCATGACTGCTACAAAAACTAAAATACAGAATGGCTGATGTGACACTCACTGGCTTTGTAAAATGCATCGCATGATCATATTGTCTATATATTGTTAAAATGAGCTTACAAATTAGTTCTACTGTATGTTCTCAGTCATGCAGTCGGGCTTTGTCTAGCACAGAAAGAGGAAATTCCGGGCAACAGCAGCTTACCCATTACTAAGGCCTTGCTACTCTTTTCCCCAGCCAGTCTCTTGTTTATAACCCATTTATATTCAAGAAGTACTTGTGAAGTGCCTACTCTAATACGTAGATAACACTAATTGAGCACTTACCTTTGCCAGCACTGCACTGGGAGCTGGGAATATACATACAGTTATGCCCAAAACCATGTTCCCCATACTCTTGAGCTTGGAATCTTCTGTGCTCTGCCCTTGTGCCACTGTTTCTTCTGCAGGTATAAACTCACCAGGGACTTGGAATTACTCAGCTACTAATTTACCTAAAGACTAATTTATAGACAACACTACTCCTGTCCCAGTGACCACATTCTTAAATAGGCTTCTTTCCTGTCCCTACAGAAGAGGAGTTGATACTGACTTATATCTGGCAATTTCCTTTAGCACAGTAAACACCTAGCTCTGCTAGCTGTAAGCATTACCAAATAATTAACAGTATGAAATCTGAACATAGCACAAAGATTAATGAAAAAAAAAAAACCCCAACAAACACAAGCAAAAACAATAAAAACAAATGGTGCAGATGATGTTGAAATTAACTTGATGTGAATCACAAGGCCATTGATTTCTGTACCAGTAAGTGGGTATTTTAGAATATATGAATTTAGGGTGTCCGAGGTCTGCACATACTTCTCTAGAGAGTTTAAGGTAGAAACAAGAGGAATTAAATTTGTAAATGTTTATAGGTAACAAAGCAAAGTCAAGAGTTGATTTAATGATCGCTTATGAAACAGGCACTATCAGAAAGTAAAATATACCAACTGAGACCAAAGTAGAGAGAGGCAACATAAACACCTGTTGGTTCTGCACATGCAAAGCAATACTGCCTCTCTGCTGTTCCAAAGATTAGTCTGCTGTCATTAGCCTGAGATCAAAACATTGTTTTACTTTAAGTGATTAAAATCAAACTTGTATCAGCAAGCTAAATTGTTGCATTTCTGTAATTTTTCTGTTATTCTTTGAAGCTAGTTGACAGAAGTTCTTTGCAGAATTCTTACAGGTCAGATCTTGTTGCAGGAAATTTCAAAGGCTTGGGAGTGGGTAGGTAAAAAGCCAAGACAGCCAGTTCATTTTATCATATTAAATTGCTGGGCTGGATTCTGCAAGGGTTTGGGAGTATTTTCTTAATAGATGTTGGTTATTTTTTTTAATCCATATACTGAAAAAAATACTATTACCATTTTTAAAGTACTCAATGGTGGGAACTTCTAGCACTTCTTTCCCACCTTTTCATGTTAATTTATTATTCTGAGTCTTGCCAAGCTCAAAAAACAATTGCCGAGGTGTGGAGGGGCAGTGCTTGGGAAAGTTACGTAAGAGAAACACTCTAGAATCCCTCAGGGTTATTTTTTTTCTTCCTAAAAGAACATCAGATTGCGTGACTGAGGTTTTCCTCTTAAGTCTTAAACATAGTTCACTTTTGTTTTACATGGAGATTATAAAACAAAAGACTGATTCTTTGATAAAATAAATACAAAATCTTAAAATGTGTTTGTAGTGAAACTATTAGCATTTATGACTGGATCTTACTGAAACATTTCTGAAAGAGAAATATGCATGTCTCTAAACTGCAAGTCAGCCCTTTGTTTCTTTGTCACAACTCTGCACTGAATTTCTTTATTAAATTAGACCAAAGGCTTTCAAACTCAAATTGAACATTCTATGGGACAGCTCTTAGATGCCTTAAATGTCAAAAAAGCAAAAACAATAAATAGCCATAAAATAAAGACAGAGTAAATGGAAATTGAACCTTCCTTTCCAGCTTCACCGTGACACAGTATAGGAATTAAAGAACCTCAAAACTTTGGGGAAAAAAATCAGTACTGTACTTCCTTATACAAGTAATTCTTGGTTAACCACCAATGGAAAAGTGATTTTTCTATTCCTGGGCCGGGGTGCAGGGGGAGGGCTGCTTCACGCCCCCTAGCATCCTGGGCCCTTCCTGCTAGTTGAATCAGTCAGTTGTGGGCTGACAACACAAACTACTAGCCGCCTGGTGTCCGCCCCCCCCCCGCCCGCCTCGCCCCGCAGGCAGCACTGCTTCCCTCAGTATTTTTGTAAAACCTAGTGAAGTGTTAGAGTTACTCTAAAAGGAGGAAATGCCCAAGTGCAAGCCAGTGTTCGGAGAGGACGCAGAGCCATGCCCAAGTACTTGTAAGTTCTTTTAAAAATAAACCTGCTTTATTACACCTGAATATGAATATGCAAGTGAATGAATCATCCTGGTTCTGGAATGATACTGACTCCATTCCACCCGAGACTTTAAGTAGGGTGCATGTCATTGGGTCTGAATACAAAGGCAGAACAAACCCACAGAACGCCACACCTTTCTGATGGTGCCACAGCCCTGGTGAGCCCTGGTGAGCAGCAGGAGATCCCCCTGCTGCTCAGGGCTTCACTCAAGCGTCCTTGCAAGGAGTTACCCTCGAATACTCCGAAACGATCCCCGTGTCCCTCGTCCAGCCTGTCTGTAGCCCTCCTGCCTGGAGCTGTTGTCATTTGGGACCCTTGCAGGGTCAGCTGTCACTTAATCCCCAGTAGTGAAGTCCCTTTGGCTGAGGAGAAGGGAGACAGGAGGGGAAGGTGGGAGAAGGGGGGGCCCATTCACAGTTCGGGGCCATTACATGCTCTCAGCCCCTCCATATTTCAGCTGGCCTCTCCCTGCCCTTGGTTCCCTGTACCAGCAGTCTCTTAGGGCCTCATGCTTTCCACAGTCCTGGCCAGTAGGGATGTGAAGATGGAACAGGTGTGCAGACTCTGTGCTGCAAGGGTTTCCCACCACATTGGGTGACCAGACTTCATGGTCCTTCTTTTCATGCCCAGCCCCGGTGTTTCTGCAAATTCCACGTCGTGCCTGCTTGTACACTTTGCAGGTGTTGATGTGAACGCAAGTGGGAGGAAACTTGTCTGGCCACGCTATGCCTCAGCCTTTGAAGCTGAATGAAATGAATGGAAGAAAGAGAATGCCACCTGAGCAAAACCAAGCCTCCAACTCCACAGGGTTGGTTTGTTGTTCACCTCTCCCCTCAAAACCACATTGTTGATAATTAATTTCTGAAAGACCTTTTTAAAACGTGAAAACAAATCATTTCTACAATCCCCAAACAGTGGAAAGTGTGTTGAGTGGGTCATTCACTACTCGTGCATTTGGTTACTGCCTTGGTTAAACACCAAGTTGCTTTCATGGGGAATTGATGACACTGTGAAGAATTTAGGAATTTGGAGTTTCTATGTGAGTTTTCCCTTTGATGTTCAAAGAAGAGTCAATAAGGAATCTTGCTTTATATGTTTAGTTATGACAGATACCGGATAGGACCTGAGCTTAGATGGAATGGCACCAGGACAAGATCTACATAGACTTCCAAACCTGTGCGAATTACAGAGCCCATTCATCCAAAGAATTAGTTAGTCCTGTGTAGGGAAGAGTCAGCTCATTCATCAGCTCATTCATCCAAAGAATTAGTTAGTTCTGTGTAGGGAAGAGTCACAAAAAGACATAGCATTAGTCATCAGGGTGTTTTTGGAAATCCTCTGTTTTTTGAAAATCAGGTTAATTTGACAGGGTACAAGACCAAGGAGAAGAAAATCCTGGGTTCTTCTCTGGTCTCTCAGACATGCAAGTGTGTAAGGTAGAGACACATCTGTTGCTAGAGGCCCTTCGACCTGCACAGATGATGGCCTGGTGGCATCTGTATAGCACTTCCCAGTTTTCAGAGCTGTCTTAGGGCTGTTTCAGTGTGATGTTTCCAGTCATCGTCTGGGCATAGGCATCTTTATGTGTCCCGTCATACAGGCAGAGACAGGCTCAGAAGAATGGGTTTGCTCAGGGTCTTGTAGATCATGACCAGAATCAAGTGTCCAAACAAATATGCTTGCTTTTATCTGGCAACTATGCCCCTTAATGTATGGAAAACTAGGCTGATTTATTTGAAAAAATCAGATGCTTTGGGGGGGGGGAGGATCATAAAAAAATATAGTAGTGTACCAAAATTTAATAGATGCAAATATTTTTTAGGCATCTGTGTATGTATGAGAGATTTCTGTGTGATACAAGCCTACCCTATAAAGTTCAGATTAATTTATTTTTAAATTACCAACACTGTGAAAAGTCTTTGAGGATACACCAGTGTTTCTCTTTCTTCAAACAAAACCATTAACAAGAGAAGGTTTTTACAGTGCCCTAACCGTTCTTTAGAAGCCACTGTGTTCTTTATGTTTGAGGGAAGAAAACAGAACAGACACCTGTTTGCTGTCATCAATCTTCAGTGACCCCAACATGCTATGCTCTGACTTTATTTCTGGGCTAGAAACATACCTCTAATATCTAATGCCTCGTGTGTGCGTTGGCAGAACGTGGTGATCTCTGGCTGACAGCTACCCTCAGTGAACACCATGACTTGTATAGAGTGGTTGCTGGGTCCTCTTGTCCCAGGGATGCTGGGCTAAATACAGAATTTTTCAGTTGGAAGAATCACAAGGAGCTTCCCAACCTCCTGGTGCCATTGTCACAGAGACTGGCAGCCATACCCTTAAGAGTTCAGTTCAAGGGAGCAGACTTTCCCAAGGATATGGATGTGGACGTGAAGATTTTACCCACCTTCTGGGCCTCTGCTGGTGCACGTCCGCCGTCTGCATCAGGGTTCCCCTCCTGTTAACAGGACAGAAGTGAAGGGAGGTTTAAGTCCATACCTTTCCCCTTTCCCACAGTTAAGTGGGTGGCCGTGGGGGACTGTCTCTGTCCTGGGCAGGCCCCAGCCCTGTGGACGTCCTGCCCAGCCTCTTTGGCCAGGGTGATTGGCATTTTTGGAGGTGGGGTTTTGTAGTTGGGTTGTATGTTTTTAAATTCATTCTTCCAGTCATTGTCTTTTAATTGATGTGTTTAAACTATTTACATTTAAATTATTGATATGTAGGGATGAATTATGCCATGTTAATTTTTGTTTTTTGTTTGTTCTGTTTCTCATTGGTTTATTTCTCTTGTCTGGCTTTCTTGTGGATTCCCTGAACAGTCTGTAAAATTCTGTTTTGACATTTAAGTGTTTTTGAATATACTCTTTTGTATCCTTTTCTTAGCATTAGTTCTAGATGCCACAACAAACACACATAACTTCTGAAGTCTACTTTGAGAGAGGTATAGGAACCTTACTTCCATTTAGGGCCCTTTGCCCTCCCTACATTTAAAATAGAAGTATCTTGAATTTTTTTTTCTATATACTTTGACCAACAGATATGAGGGGCATGTGTGTGTATTTTCTTAAACAATAGAGATGATCTTCCCACAGTTCTGGAGGCCATGTTGGTTTCCCCTGAGGATTCTCTCCTGACCTGTGGACAGCTGTCTTTCTCTCTGTATCCTCACGTCTTCCCTTTGTGAGTGAGTTACATTTTTTTCATCAGCCATTGAATGTGATTTGGACTTGTGAGGAGAAAGATAGTCCATTCTACTCTGATTTCTGCCCGTTCTGTGTTCTAATTTCCTTTCAGAAGTTCCAGGCCTCTGTTTGCTATCATTTTCTTTGTGTCTGAGAAGCTGTCTGTAGCTATTCTCTAGGTGTGCGTCTACTAGTGGCAAATTCTCTTAGTTTTTTCCTCTGAGAATGTCTTTGTTTTCCCCTCATTTCTGAAGGGTATTTTCACTAAATATAGCATTCACAGTTGACAGTTCATTTCTTTCATCATTTGAACAACTGTGTGCCACTCTGTAGGTTCAGATGAGAAACCGGCTGCAATTGGAATTAGTGGTCCTGTAGGAAATGCACCCTCTCTCCTGCTTTCAGTAGTTGGTCTTTGTCTTTAGCCTTTACAGGTCTGTCTAGTCATGACGTGTACTGGGGTAGATTTCTTTGGGGTTATCCTGTTGGGGATTTTCTCAGCTTCTTGAACCTGCAGGCCGTGTCTTTCACCAGATCCGGGAGGTCTCCAGCCATGGTTTTCTCAAAACGCCCTTCCAGCTCACACCCCTTCTGTCCTGAGGCATCAGGGACATGAGCAATAGCTCATTTGCTATTGTCCCACAGGTTCCTCAGACTGTTCATTTTATTTTTCAGTAGATTTTCTTCCTGGTGTTCATACTGGGTATTTTTTGTTGTTCTATCTTCAAATACATTCATTTGTTCTTCTGTCACATTCATTCTATTATTGAACCTATTCTTTTGAGTTTTTCCCTTTGGTTATTTTATTTTCCACTTGGTTCTTTTTATTTTTTTTATGTCTTTTATCTCTTTGGTGAGAATTTTCTGGTATCCCCGCCCCCCCGCCCCCGCAAAGATGTTTGTAGCAGTTCTATTCTTGATAAAACTGTCCAGTTAAATGACTCCTATCCTTACACTTAGAACACATCTTTTAATTTCCAGTCATTTTATTAATGGGCGGTTGCTCACTGAAATACCTTCACTCATCTCATCATGTCCAAATTCTATCCACACTGCCAGGCTTGGTTTAAATGCCATCTTCCACGGAGCCTTCCCTGCCACCCACCTTGGGTCAGGCAAAGACGTGTGACCTTTTTTTCGTCTTTATTTGTTACAAGTGTATTTTAAGTTGCTCACCGAAGCATTCATATGATGGCGGCTTTAAAACCATGTCAGAATATGCCAGCATTGATTCATCTTGGCTCGTCTTTTCCCATGCAAATTGTGATTTTCCTGGCTCTTGGTAAACTCTAGGTCTTGCTTTGGTAGGCATTCACCTGTTCAGGTGTAGGTCCAGTGTGCTCCCATGGGTTGTGGTTCCAACTGAAAGTTTGTTCTGGGGGCCGTGGCTGTGCTGTTCTGGTGGGCTCCACTCTCACGGTGCTTCCAGAGCTCACGCCTGTCCCTGCAGTGTTGAGCATGGTGGACGTTCTTCCTGGGACTGTCAGGTTGATGTGGAGGTGCCAGAAGTACCATCC